TAAATGTTAGATGAATGAAAGGAAAAAATGGGGAAGAAGAAATCCCTAAATCGACAAATATACAAATGATCCCTTCTCAAGTAGACAATTATAGAAAAACTTATTTATAATGCAGAAATATATATTCCACGGGTCGTCCAATGTAATAAATGTCTGATATATGGTCATATAAGCAACCACTGTAGAGGAAAAATCACATGCCCATATTTTGGACGGGAACATGAGGCCAATAATTGTAACAAAGAGAGGAACCAACATGTCTTACACGGCGGAATTCACATAGCAAATAAGAGAAAAAACTACAGTGAATTTTCAAAGCAAAAATCTGTTAAGCAAATGATGGTAACTGAAAGCATTTCATACACAGAAGCTAAAGAAAAACACGACAACAGCTACGCAACCGTAGCCAAAAATAAACGAGATAGTCCATACTACACAGCAGTCATAAATAAAAAACGGCGTATTAAAAATAATAACAACAAATCAGGTATCTATCTTAAAAATTTAAAGAATACCTACAAAGAACCTTCACAAGATAATTTAAGATGATGGACTGAAGAATTCCTAGTTAGAAAAGCGCCAGCATGGCTGAGGAAATTTTAGTACATGTATAGAGTCTACACAGCGAGAGCCAAAAATTCCCATAAAAATTCTGCTTCAGCATTAGACAATATTTACTATATAATGTTCTACAACCTGCCATAAAAATTGTAAACACATTTTGCTGAATATCCTTAACTCAATATGGGCAAACTCAAGATTACCCAAGTAGTTGGAAGAGATATGAGGTTATTCCAATCCAGAAACTAAACAAAGACCCTCATTTACCAAGTTCATACAGACGAATCTCTTTAGCGTCATGGGTTTTAAAAACTTTAGAACGTATGATAAAAAGAAAATTAATATCCTGTCTAATAAGAGAATCCTGGCTAGAAATTAATAAGAAGCTCCCACAGTGTCAATTTGGCTTTGGAAGGGAACACTCCATATTGGAAAATTGGGGGCATTTAATAAGAGATATCAACACTTTGCATTCTGGTGTCAATCTGATCTGTTTACTCGTACTACACTTAACCATCTCCATTCTACAAAATAGTTCTAATACGCGTGGTAGCACCTTTCTTGTTGAGGCTCGACAACGTAATGAGACTACGATTACGAAGTCGTTTGAAATCCAGTGACTAGAAATTCTCGGAAATAATTTTTATCAGTTCTTTGTATTTCCTCGAGTCATTAAGGAGTCATTAATAATGACTTTATAATTACGGTTTTAAGGTAACTGATACTAAATTAGAAATTAACTTTTACCAAACTTTATAGCATATCAATTATTAAAGATGGTATTCTAACAAATAAAAAGTTTGGTATCTACAAAACAATCTGTGTACAATAAAACTCCATTATTGTCTGCGCGATTAATTATTTCGTGGAAGGGCTCGCCACTCGATTTGAAATAAGCTGTACTACTTAGGGAAGTTACTTTACAGTAACTGAATTAAAGATTAATACAGATGAGGAAATATGACAAACTTTATGAGAATACAAGTAAACAGGAAAGTAAATGTAAAAAGAATAATAAATTTGGGCAGTAAACTTGTTTGTTACAAATTAGAGAGCACGTGAAAAAAAATATGCAAAAAAAGATACACACAGCACAGCTAAAAAATTTAAAGGGAGAAAAGGTATTCATAAATGATTAATTAACAACCAAAGAAAGAAATGAGAAAAGACAACTGAAAAATGTGAAAAACTTATGAAAAATGGTAAAAGTAGGTTTTAAAAAGATCATAGTAGACGGAGAGGAATGGAGATGAGAAAAGACAGGCAAACGGAGACAATTTGTGGAAAGAACAAGAAATATGACAAATGCAAAACCATAGCTACGACAACGGACATGAATAAATTGAATTTAAGGATGGAAATGATAAAACACATAGACATATCAAGTAAAAAAAAGTAGAAAAAATGGAAAATAATCATAACTTAATATATATATACTCCTTTTACCCTATGACGGCCGATACGTAATTAAGTTATGATCAGTGGGGCGTTAATATTTAATTACGATCACTTGAAAAGTAAAAATATTTAATTTTATGTATTTATGTTCAGTAATTATATTAGATTTTACTGTATCAAAGACAAATAAAATGAATATAATATGTATATACAAGGCGTATTAAAAGAAGTGGGATGGAATATTTTGAATACTCGAAATTATTTGTCGACATCAAATGTTCATCAAGGTCTCTATAAGTCTCTCTTTTGCGTAGAGTGAACATTATACGAACGGTTTTGCATGATAGTTCAATTGGAAAATACTTGCCAAGTTGCTGGTATGTCCAAATTTGAATAAAATACATCCAAGACAATTTACTTTTTGCAGACACTGTTCTAAATATAACCTTGAAACAAATTGGCACTAAATCACTTCCGAGTTTTCAGCAAAACAAAATGTTTAAACACGTGTAGTAAAGCAATTATTACCAAATCTATTAAGAGTATGCAGTCCACTAATTAGACCGAAGGTACTTTATCGTTTAACTAAAACACACCACAATGCCCGAATTGAATTCCCGAAACACGTTTTTGTTACTTCTTTTTATCAAGCGATTGATCCTATTCACTGTCTGCTATTTCACTATCACAGTCATCACCATCTGAATTGTCTATCCGAATAATTAGAGGCCGGATCTCATCTATAACTCGCTCGGTTTGAGAAGACAACGATTATGTCTTCCATATGTCTAAGACAATTTTGTCATTTCTCTGACTTTATTTGTTCTAGCGATTCTTTCCATAAACTAAGAACGCTAGCGTATCTGTTGTTTTGGATGCATGTTTATCATAAAAATTTTTGGCTATACCCCAAACTAACTCAATTGCGTTATAGTGGAAATGGTAGGGCGGAAGTCGAAGACCTTCATGGCCATATTTAAGACCCATTTGGTCAGAAACAAATTTCTTTTGAATTTTGTGCTCTCCATACCTTTGAAGTGTATTGACTTTTAAAAATATGTCACTGATAAATTTTCTTTTCTGTCAACCACAACTTTATTTCTTCTTTTGTCCAGCTGCTTGAAGGAAATCTCTCTTCTACTCTTGAGTGGTAGAATGCATTGTCCAACACTATTATGGATGGTCGCTCTAATTATTTTTTGTGGACGGAAAAATTAAACTAGCGTCAGGAATAAAACCTTCATTATTTCCAGCATGAAGTATAATGTAGTGTTTACCATTACCGAAACGATTAGAAGAATAACATTTCGTGGTGCTATGTAGCCAGGATGAGTTTGACATATTTCCTTTAGCGAAGATCCAAGTTTCATCTAAAAATACAACCTGCCTCGAACTATCCGACGTTTTATTGTTCATGTTTTTTTTTAAACTTCCACCATTTTGAAACAACATTAGAGAGTTCACACAATACTTGTCTATTATTTGTCTTTTTATATCGAAAACCTAAATGTTTCAACACTCTCCACAAACTTGTTAAACTAATATCAAACAGGTTCTTGTCTTTTATTTTTTGTACCACAGCACTAACTAACGTATTATATATAATATTTTTAATTGCTGATAGTTTCAGCAATTAAAAATATTATATATAATACGTTAGTTAGTATCCGATTAGATATTAGCTATCAGACAGAAAAAGAAACGAATGGATCCGTAATAAAACAAAAGTGAAAGATGTCTCAACTCAAGTAGCAAAGCTTAAGTGGAAGTTCGCCGGGAACACCCTAAGGCAGAAAGATGAAAGATGGACTAAGACAATGGAATGATTATGATCTAGAAGGTGAAGTGCATATGTCGAATCTGTTTTTCTATTATTGAAAGCCCTTTTATGTTCTGCTATTCGTTTATTAAAGTTTCTACCAGTTTGACAACGGATAAAACGAACAAACAATTAATAAAATGTTAAATCAAAAACTACACAAGAAAGCCCTGAAATTAGTATTTCCTCCACCCGAGAAAAAACCCAGTACCTACTGCTCGATTACATATACAGGCAAAATAACAACAAAAATAGCCAAACACATAAAAAAGAAAGAAATCACACCAGCTTTCTGAACAAATAACAACCTAGGCAAATATATTAAAAATAACAAGAGCCAAAATAAAAAACACTTAAATAGTGGTGTGTACAAATTTCAATGTGGCGACTGCCCAAAAACTTACATCGGTCAAACTGGTAGAAATTTTAATAAACGAATAGCAGAGCATAAAAGGGCTTTCAATAATAGAAAAATAGATTCGACATACGCACTTCACCTTCTAGATCATAATCATTATTTTAATGACAAATTTACAATTCTTCACATTCAAAATAAAGGCCTTAAGCTATCTTTGTTAGAATCTATGGAAATCAACAAATTAAAAAACACAGATATAATTCTGAATGACCAACTTGAGACAAACAGTTCTCCGCTCCTCAACCTATTTCATTAGATACTATCGACTTCTTTGTGAGTAGGCCAAGATCCACAACGGATTGTCGAGCCACTTATGATGATGATGTAATTACTAAAACCGAAACAAAGTCCTTGCAAGTGCACTATTCAAGCCACCAATTTGTAGTCCAGGTGAACAGCCGTATAATGTATTTCATGTTACTTAGGACTAATAATAGAAGAAATTGTATCTTTAGAGAAATCAATAGCAGAATTTACTAGCTCTGAACAAACAGCCAATTTTCAAGATTCTTCTTGGTTTGTTAAGTCTTGTAAATTGCAACTTTAGCATAGGTCTATATATTTATTATATATATGTATAGCAAGTCATAGACGGTTTGTACAAACAATTAAAACAAAACATCAGAATAAACTTGATTTTTTATATGTCTTTATCCATAAATTTACAAAAAGCACCAACACATCACATTTCTCATTTAACAATAAAAATTACAACTTTGACTCTGTTAGCCAATGGAATGATTGTGGTTTTCTATCAGCAGTGGTATCGATAATAACATTTATTATTGTAGGTCCGTCATTCACCTTTAGGGCTTCTTTAACCGCTAAGTGCAGTTCTGGAACTGTATTAACGAAAAATCCTGTTCTTCCAAAAAGACTCATCATATTGTCATAACGCGTTACACTGGTCAAACATCCTGGAGGTGAACTAAAAAATATTTAAACGTAGTAACTTTAAAATAGTAAAATATGTTAAGAAACAATAATAAATTAACCATGATTTTCTATTTTAAAAATGTTTAAGGTTTAATTTAATATTAAAAAGATTTAATGGCTTAAATTTATCACACGCTAATAGAACACCAAGAGCCACTGTGGGAGTGATCCTCATGGCTCCTGAAATGTCTAAATGCCTTGGCTGAAGACAATCTAGCCCGGTGTAAATTTTTTTTCGATGAACGTGATCATTAAAAAATGTCGCTACATCACTAAAAAAAAGTGTTGAAATTGTTCTGAAGCTATTTTCTTGTAGTATTTTAATATAATGTAGTATTTTTTCGCAATATTTTGCATGAAATGAAGTCCTTAAATATCGTTTGTTATTATAATAGTTAGATTTATAATATATTTTATAAATTTAAATCTTTACAAAATACGTACACTTTGGCAATTTCTTCTACTCCAACACTATCTCTTATTTCATTTAATACAGTTACTTCCATTCCAGAATAAATGCCAGAATTGTTAACTACCACAATAATAACAGGAAGTTTATATCTAACCATAGTTTCGATTTCCATACCAGAAAATC